TGTGATGTGGAATCTCAGTGATGCGTAATCTCATCTCACTGATGCGTAATGTCATCTCAGTATAAATCCAGCTGTTCAGTAAAGGCTCTTGAGGTCTGTTAATGATCATTAATGAATAAACAGAAGCATGAAGACCGACCAAGAAGCACAAAAGACCGATCACAGGGAGAAAGCTGACAACAAATTTTCTGAATTACAAACCAATAGCTATTGATAGAGTTAATTTATTTCTGGCATTTAGAAAAAAATGACATATTCAGAAGGAGGACTACAATCTTACTTTGCTGCCATATATAGATGTTTTTCGTTGGCAGATCTCTTTCGTGAAAGCCACCATAGAGAACGCAGCCGTCAAGCCCCCTTCAAACTCCATGTTTACTACCTGCAAGGATATCACAGATAAACATTAAAAATAAATACATACACAAATTTAAGAAATCACTACTTTTGTCTCTCAATGAACAGAGGGAATTGTATCTGTTGCATAGGAGGAATGCTTATGTTTGCAAAAATAATCATACTTGGTCATTAATACTGTTTCAGTCAGTTGAGGAGATATTACACTACTACTTAAAATGGGTTGTGATTTTATTTGGTTATTGACTTGGTAAAATTATGTACCTAAGCTTTCATTTTATCTTGGTTTTAGTAGAAAAGTTGCCGTCTGAAAGGCCGCGCAAACATTGGATTCTGGAAACCGTCCTGCTGCCTGAACACTTCTAATGTCTGGGAATTATTTTTCAGCATGGCTTATGTTAGCCTCTGACTTTTCCCAATAGAAATACAGTGATAAGTTGCACAAAATTAAATCCTGTCTCTCCCATAACAAAAAGTAAGAGATGGTTGGACCCAAGTTATCTCACATTTTTGGTACAGCTTTTGAGCTGTACCAAAAATGTTTTAGATAGGCAAGACTGAGAAAGTAATGTACAGTGTTAAATGGAAATGAGGAGTTTCCCCGACCTGGTTACTGCAAACATCATTGTCACACTCATAGACGCATCGGCCATATGGTCCATTCCTCAGTGCTTCAGTGACTGACTCGACATCAGGGAGTGAGTTTGGGCAGATGACCGACACCGGCCAGCCAGTGTGACCCTAGCACAAATACATACACATGTACACTTTTTAAAAATATGCACAGAGAGCGAACAATTCCTTAGTGTAATAATAAAGTAGACTACTCGTGAATTCTGTTTACCTGTTTCACTCTGTCTGTGTAGATTTTGCATGCCGAGTACGGACAGTTTCTTTCAACTGAACAATCGATGCAACGATCTCCAGCACCTGTTGGCTGATGGAAAAAACATTATTGAGCTAAGATGAATTTTCCTGGTATTTACAGAACACAGCAGCTGCAATGCCAAAGAAACAATTTGTTTCATTTTAAACAGGAAGGATTCAGGGACAGAACTCAAAACTTTTGCTTAACATCAAAAAAAGAGTAAAGGAAGAAAAAGTATAAGGAACCAGGTGAACTAATCGGGAAAAAGGAAGTACACGCCATACACATGGACCACAGACAAGTCTACAGAGATGGAAATACAAATCATCATTAAAATTTTAGAAAAACAGATTAGAAGTGTGCCAATTTTAAAAGCTTGACTGGGTTTGTTGCTTTCTACATAAACAGTGTTAGGTAGATAACACAACAGACATAAAGATATAAACAGTTACTGATAGCATGGACACACCTTATTTTCTTTCCGGAAGTGGCTAACAGATCCGAAAGATGTCACTTTTACGCACCTGTCAAGGACAAAAGGTAATGATTTATCCTCAAGATATGAAGCCTCCAAACTTGAAGTGTCGTAAATAGTGGCAAGATAACTTGGAATGTACCATCTAATATATAATGTCAGTATATTGCTTAATTTACTAGGGGACCAAAAGTGTGTTAAGTTCTGAGCAACAAACAACCCTGGTTTATCACCTGCGTGCTCCAGCCCAGTGGTGAATCAGGTCAATGTCATGGCACGATTTAGCCAGCAGAGCAAAAGAGCTCTCGGCTTCATTCCTCCAGCTCCCTCGAACAAATGAATGGGCAAAGTGATAAAACCCAACCTAGAATGAGAGTTTTTGAACAAACAAATAGTTTCTGACAAGTCAAATTTGATGCTTTTGTCTTCTTGTGCCACATGCAAAGTAGAGATTTAAATTACTTTTGTTAAAATCTAAAGAAGCCCAATGAGTTCAAAAGGGATTCCAAATTTCACACTGATCTTTACTCATCATGCAATTCAGTGACTCCTGACATATTCGCAAAAGTTCCTACAGAGCACAAAGGTAAATGTGTAAATGTGGTTGTGTGGGATTGGGAGTATTTCTCCAGTGCTTGTTTTCTTACTGGTTCCAGGTGCTGTATATGAATCACGTCCCCAACAACTCCGGCATCTATAAGCTCCTAGAAATAAATTAAAAACTACTTTAAAACCTTTACAAACGTATATATATATATATATATATATATATATATATATATATATATATATATATATATATATATATATATATATATATATATTGTTCAACAAAACTAAACAGAGGAAGAAACAAGAAAAACTATAAATGACTGAATGTGCTAAAATTCACATATTTTAAATACGAATCGACCTTGATCTTGTGAATGAGTGGATCATATCGGAGAACATGACCCACAGTCAGCATCACATCAGCCTGAGTGCAAGCCTCCACTATGGCTTTGCAGTCCTCTGCAGTTGTCTAGAGGTTTACAAGGAGAGCAAAAGTTAAAATGAAGGGGGAAAAAATAAGTGGCAATTTTATTTTAAAATGAAAATTCTAAACTATAAACATCCACAGTGACTGAATATTTAAATTAGGGCTATGAAGCAGACATTTTTATTTATTGCTGTTGTTGATAAACACTTACTGCCATTGGTTTCTCCAGAAGAATGTGGTAGCCTTTTTTTGCAAAGGCAACAGCAGGATCCTATGAAACACAAACTTGTTAACAAAAACCTCCCCATGGATGACAGAGAACATTTCCAAATAAACACACCCATGGTACGCACACCTTATGAATGCGATCTGGAGTGCAGATCAGCACTGCGTCTGCAAACTTCTCTCGTTCAACTATGTTTTTCCAGTCTATTTTTTATTTTTTTAAAAAGGAAACAACAATGGTAAATTTCATTATCATACTAAAAAATTCCTGAAATTCAGATTTATTTAATACTCACCTTCAAACACGTTTTCATCCTCAATTTTGTGTTTCTGTTGCATTTTGGTGCGGGCAAACTTTCTCGGATCTGCCACAGCAACAACCTAAACGTTTCATCGTAGAAATCAGAGAAGAATGATTCTTTACTATGTTTCACATCAGAAAGTATTTCAAATATATTTCCAGTTACATATATACTTTTTAACATTTAACACTATCATCCCTCAGATACAGAAACTGGACTGTTTGGGACTGAAAACCTCTTTATGCAACTGGTTGCTGAACCTCCTGACAAGTTCAGCAACCAAGAAACCACCATCAATAAATGGTGATTTATTGACTGCAATAAAGCACCATCAATCTGAACATGTGTCCTCAAGGATGTATTCTCGGCCTGTTACTATTCCTTACTTTGCTTTGCTTTATTAAAGCAAACTTTGTACTGTTTGTTTTATTCTCACTACATTACTTATTATATCAACACTATGTTCATCTGAAGAGCTATGTTTCTTTTTGCGCTTTGTTTTTACTGCATTTTTAGTTTTTATTAAAATTGGACTATTTTAATTCTGTGCCTGTGTTTACGAGTTTGGACAATAAAGTGAAATGAAATTAATCTCTTTGCTACAAGAAGAAAATCAAACAGCAGAAGCCAGTAGTTATCAATAAACATCTCTAAAATGTTTTTACAGGAGCAGCTTTCATTGTCAAGTCAATATTCAATGTTGCTGTAACTACTAAGGCTCTTTTTACCCCAGAAGTTTTTCTCTCTTTATTTATTTTTTATTTCTTGATTATTAAACAGTAATACCAAACAATGAGCCAACAAGAGGCTCTCTCCTGACCTTCATGCGTTTAGGATGGATGAACGCAAACTGGGCGTAGTTCTCTCCTCGACAACCAGCTCCCACCACGATCACATGCACAGGTGAAGACATACTGGACTCCTGTGAACTTTCACACACAGCAGAGCTTGGAAACACGTCTGACCTTTGCCTGTCGTTTCGTCCAACAAACCTTCACGCAGTCTTATTTACGCGAATGAAGTCAGTAGGTCTGATTACAAGGAGATACAACTGTGTGTTCATTTATTGATGATTCCCTAACTGACCGAAAATAAATAAATGAGGTGACTCCTCTCCTGTTCTGACTAGGGTTATATTAGCTAGCTTAAGCGCCGGCAGTATGAAAACAAACGGACCCAATGACTAACGAAGCAAATCTTTACTGCATAACTACATAACTGTTTAACTTGGTTGTCGTTTGTAGGAAAAAAAACAAACAATTAAAACTCTGCAGGCAAATGCAGGTGGAGGTGAGGCATATCCGCAGCCTGTTAAATTACACGCTACATTTTCTAGGTATGTTGTTAATTTACCACAAAGTTGGTCTTTCTACCTGTTTTAAAAGTTTCAGGTCCTGTTAGATTTCTTCTGCGTTGGTCCACATTTGCCAAAAAAGGACCCAACTATGAAAATATAAGGAACAAAACACTCTTACTGCTTCCTGACGTTTGTTTCCTGACGCCACCTACTTTGTCCACGACATTTGTTTGCTGCATTCACTGAACAAGAGTATAACACTATAATGATGAAATGTATATTTCTTTTGGCCATAGATGAACAAAAATCCATTGGATTATAATAATTTTTCTTATTTTTTTTTAGCATTAAGACATTACTTGTGATTTATAAACATATATGTTTTAGTTTATCGCAAAAACAAGTAGATTAAGTGGAAGAAGCCAAGACTTCTACAACTACAAACGCAACCTCTAGAAAGCTTCGGCTAAATTCGGCAAAACTTCGAGTTTCTCCGGCAAATGCTAACTGGGTGATCACGTGACAGAACTGTAGCATGACCTCAGCTTTCGGATAGACGGCAGCAGCAGATAAATCTATTTAAGAGCTGGATTATGTCATTTTGATTTTGTTAACTATTTTTTCTTCAGTTCTCAAACTTTAACAAAGAATTAAGGTTGTAACTAAATAGCACAGAGTTGTTTTTTTTCTGTTTTTAGACGCCTTCCCGAGCTAGCTTACCGAGGGTTAGCAAGTTAGCTAAAATCGACATGAATATAGACAACGTCAATCAGTCTGTTACAAGTGGAGTTCCAGCTACGACCTCTTCAACTTCTAGTAACTGTATCGCAAATGACAATGCAGCGACGAACGTCAGCAGCATCCCTTCAGCGACGAGTAATGGTAACGTTCAGTAACTTCGGCTAATGTTTATGTTGCCTGTGCTGTACTCGGTTTGTTGATCAGTCTGGCTGTATACAAGAAACGCATGGATTTGATTCACATTGTGGCAACTCAAATAATGTTTACAACAAAAAACGTTCTCCTCGGAAATGTACAAAAATATGTAAGGAAGTTAAATATATCTTCATGTATATATGTTTGTATTATGCATGTGTAAACCTGCATAAAATTAACTTAACCAAGGGCCAACTGGAAATCGTGACATGAAAAGAGCTGATTTTCAAGCTTCCTCTTGCTTCTTTAGAAAAAATTAAACTGAAATATTTTTCAACCTTCTGACTTCCAGCTGGAGCTCCAGCCGCTGTGGCGACACCATCCGCAGACTCATCGGTCTCTAACGGGGTTTACCTTCCAAGCGGAATCACTAATGGAGACATAAGGCCTGCCGTCTCCACCACACCTCTGGCGGATTTCCTCATGCAGCTGGAGGATTACACTCCCACGGTAATGACAGTCGGCTTTTGTTGAGAACAGGCTTCCTCATAACAGGTCAAAACCAAGCAAATTTGTGGGCTGATCATTGCTGAGTAACAGCATGCAGTAATGGTTATTTATTCATGATGCCATCTGAAAAGATGCACCCTGTGATCCTTGTCATGTTTTTGTACATAAGTTGAATTCATCCTGGGCTTGTGTAAATACGTTTGCTAAATTGTTGTTTGTACATTTGGTTTTAGATTCCTGATGCAGTTACAGGATACTACCTCAACAGGGCAGGCTTTGAGGCTTCTGATCCAAGAATGTGAGTACAATATGCTGGGATTACCTACAGGAATTTGGCTCCATCTTTTGTCACTCAGCTCTCAGGCTCTTGGTCTAAGACCTAAGCACCATTATAAAAAATATATATATATATTATTGCTGTTGTCAGCAGTAAATTTGGGTGCTAAAGAAGTTGTTGTATAAGATGAAAAATGGGAATTTACCAATTTTTAAAATTATTAATGGAACTCAAATTATATGGTTGTAGAGTAGTCTTTTTAGTTCTCTATTTGAAGACACCTACGGTTGCCATTGGAGAAACTTTGCACCCCTCGAGAGTTGTATTTCTGGAGTAATTAATCGTCGAGTCATCTAAAGTAAAAGCAAACACAATACACAACTCTTACGTTGTTTTTTTCCTCCAAAATATTTACTGTACATCGTGCCATTTAATTTTGTTCTATCGTAAAACTCCTAAACCATTTGTTTTCCAATTTTAGATTTGATTACTTTAAAACAAATGATTTACAAACTTCTTCTCAGTCTTTAAAGATGCAATGAGCTCTGAGGTTCTTTGAACACAATTCCTGTGAGGTTTTTAACCATTGAAGGCAATGATTAGCAAAAAAGAAACGTAATGATTGTCTTTGGCATCTTTGCAGAATCCGCCTGATCTCCCTTGCTTCTCAGAAGTTTATCTCAGATATTGCCAACGATGCCCTGCAGTACTGCAAAATGAAGGGAACTGCTTCCGGAAGCTCCAGGAGTAAGACGAAGGTGAGGCCCATTGTAGCACTTTGAAATTTAAGATTTTCAATGATGCTGATGGAGGATGTTTTTGGCTTTTTTGTGACTCCTCTTTTTTTGTCCCGTAGGATAAAAAGTACACACTGACAATGGAGGACCTGACACTTGCCCTCTCTGAATATGGCGTGAATGTCAAGAAACCTTATTACTTCACATAGAACTCATTACATAAACCTTTTTGATTGTTGTTAGCATTGAGTGTCCTGCTAGCCTTCTAGAGTCTTTTGCCAGCTTTATTGACAAATGTTTTTCGACCATGGTTTGGTACAGCTTTGTAACATCTTAAGCTTGTCAGTTTTTGTGAAGCTTTCCTTGCATTTAGTTAAATTGTAGAATTTTGTTTTATGATAAAAATAAAAATATTTCCCAAAAAATAAAATATTTTTTTTTGAGTGGGGAAACTGTTTACAAAGTTCATATTTTGTGACATTGTCTGCTGAGAGTGGTTGATTAGCGTTCATCTTCAAACCAATATGCATTTTGATGTAAACAAAGCAAAGGTTAAAAATTTTTATGTTGACAATACTTTTAGTGCTTCCTTTTGCTATGATCATGATTGTTTTTATCCAGCATCAAATGAAAATAGATGTGCAAGAAGTTATCTTGAACAACCTCCTTTCTTGCGTGAAACTGCACTTGTCAGGAAGTATGTATTGCATCTGGCTTTCTTTTTAGAGATTTGTTTTCCACTCTACACAAAAATATAAGCCAACTTTTTCAAGTCATGAAAATACTATTGAATATATATCAAGTTTAATTCATTTTAAATTAACGGAGTTTGAGTTTTATTTGGAAAGAGTGCTTCTAGATTTCCCAAAAATATTGTGTATTTGCCTTAAATTTACTTTTCTTATCTTTTGTGACCATCAGAGGGCGCTCGTCTTTTGTGTTGCAGTATTTATAATGTCTCTCGTGAGCTGCCGTCTGTTTCACCCGCTCATGCGCACTATACTCGGACCATTCAAATGATTCGTGTGTGAACTTCATATATATATTTTAATTTAATAAAGCAAGCAGAGCACAAAAAATGTCTGTTCAACCCTCCAACCCCAACAACCCAATTGTCTTCTTCGACATCACCATAGGAGGACAGGTGAGTTTGAGTTCCCCGCTAACGTCGAGTCGACGTCACTGCTATCCACCAGCCTCGACTTAACGTGACTTTTACACGTTAAGTTGTGAAACGCTGCATTTTGAGCTGCGTTAAATGCGTCAAAATGACTCTAATTCAGTTTCTAGGCGTGTGTTGCAACAATGAGCGAGAGCCCGACATACTTTCTTTAGCAGTTTCTCATTTGCTGAGCTAAATGTAGTCGGGTAAAGCAGACAAAGTCAGCGCGATAGCTGTGTGGACATTTGTTAGACATGAAAAGAACGAGACATTTGGAGGCTCTGCTAACTTTTGCCTCAAAGGTAAATGTGCTTTCCAAGGTGTTGTTAGAGGTAAAGCCATACGTATGTCAAAATACAGCACTTAGCTAATAGTAGTTTTCAGTGCACTGTTCTTTGTCACTGTAATCCCCTTTTATGGTTTATTCAAATAAACAGACAAGAGACGATCAATTACTTATAGAACCAACATTATTAATAATCAGCTAGAGATTTACCAATCAAGTCGGCCGCTAATTCTCTCGTATGGGTGATGGGGAGGTTAAATGATGAAAAATGTAGTTTTGTTTGTCCTTGTTCAACACATGCATTTAAATGAAAACCTCCCACAGTTTTGTTATATGCACCAATATAACAAATTGGTGCATATTGCTTCACACAAGTGAAGCAAGTGAAGCATCTTGCTTCACTTGTATTGCTTGGGAGATATTGTTCAATTCATAAATTAAGTTAATCTTGTAATTCCTTAGTTTCTGTTTTGAGATATTCAAAATGACTACATCTGTCCAAAAACCTGCAGCATTGTTTTGTTACATTGTAATGGCTATACCACTTTTAAAAAATGGTATTTGCCATGAACAGCTTTATTAGTTCCTCTTTAAAATAGCCACTTTGTGATTTTCACAGTTGCACAAAACTAAATGTGGTCTATTTTCATTTGTTTTAAAGTCAACTATTTTAAGAAAACAAATTTCTATAAAGTCTGGCACTAACACTACTGTGCTCTAAACATATATATGAAAAGTTAGACTATGAATTAAAATATAGTTTATATATCATAAAAAAACCTTAATTTGATTTCCCAAATATCAAATTATGGTATCAAGGGATTTTGCAAATTTCTATTTAGAGTTGAATTATTTTGTTTGGCTAACTTTTGACTTCCAAGTTACTTTGACACTTGGGATTTATAAGATACATTGTGTAGCCGTAGGATGTGTCACAAAAGATATTTTGACCTTTTGGTGACACTTTTAGAATCAGAAGGGCGCAACAATGCAAAACGTGCGGCCAAACTTACCTGGACGATTGTTGAGTGAGTCGGCTGAAAAGTCCAGACCTCCAGTTGTTACCTCGGCGCTTTATATATCACAATGCAGTGTGGGTTAAAAACTGGATCAGAGATAACAGCAACACGCACCAACATAAAAGATATTGGAGGATCTGTCAAAGTTTATTGTAGAACATTTTCAAGCTGTATCTAAATGTCATAAAGCAGTGTGTTTTTTCCCTTTTATTTTGTCAGTAATATCTGGTAGAAAATATAGTGTCTATCTAAATGTGCACTCCCCTGTTAAAACCCTTGGATTTCAAAATGAATTCAATGTGGAATTTTTCTGGTATAAGACAAATGAAAAGCAAAAATCTATCAAGATAAATGGATAAAAATATAGAATATTGCCTGGGAGTATAAGTGTGCACAGCCTGAAATTCTGACTTTGTATAACTTCTTTGTCTTTTAATTATAATGTTTAACCTTTGGGTACACACCTAACATAAAGTATACCAAACCAGATCAACCAGAAAAGTGTATCCTTTCTGACTGTTTTTAATCCCTACCTCTCTTAGTTCTGGTTGAGAGTGTGAGAGTTGAGAGTGGCAGGAATGATACCGCTCTTATCAAGGAGCGGTATCATTCGGTACTTGTGGCAACAAGAACATTTACATTTCAGCATTGTAGCAAAACTACATCTAAATGTACAGAAGAACGTCTTCATGGCTGAAAGCTTACGTCCTTGGAACCTCCGAGCTAAAGTTCAGAACTAAATCCGACAGAATTTTTAGGTTCACCTTAATAGAGATTTTGAGAACTTTCGCATGATAGAGGGAGTAGTAGGTATTGCCAAATTAAAATGTACGTCCTTTTACGACATAAAATGAATTTGAATCAAAAGGTGCTAAGGTTGTGCACATTTTTGCAACCAAATTGTTACAACTTTTTTTATATATCTATGCGCCATCATAAAAACATGAGCTGCTATTCGATATAATATTTCTTATATGGCCAATAAGCAGTATTTACTGTTATTACATATATTTTACTATCCATTTGACACCTTGAAAAAAACAATCACGCTGCTCACAGCCTCACTGCCACATGACCAATCTGAATTTTTTAAAATTATTATTATTTGACAAACATGTATCAGTTGAGTCCACAAAGTAAAAAAAAAAAAAAAAGAATAAAAGATTAAGTGATCTGCTACATTTTCCAGACATTGCAAATTTCCCACCATGCAAAGTAAACAGTTGCAACATTTTGCTGTGAAGATCAACTTCAGAATTCTGGACTAAAATGGAACCAGCATCAGCAGGCATGTGGTGAAAAGTTAACAGTTCATTTAAAGCTGCATTTCATCACCACTTGGCTTCTGAAGAGGACCGTCTATGGCGATCCGTTTCTGAGTATAGCTTTAGTAACATTCAGCCATGAGCAGGACGAAGCAACAACCACAGATTCAGATCACTGATCGATTCATATGCCGGAAGACTTTCATTTAGTCTGCATTGCTGTGTCGTTGGGCGATTTAGTTTTTCTACACATGAAATGAACTGCTCTTCTTTTCACATTGTGGTTTAAACACAGTGGTAAGCGGCAGAGACTGTTGTATATCTTTGCTTAATTGCCAGTAAATCTGCCATAAGCACACGTTCTCTGGTAGACTGCTGCAAGGCCCCTTTGTGTAGCTCTTTGCCCAGAACACCAAACCCACCAGCAGGCTGTTGGAGCACTCCAACCACAGAAGGTTTACTCCGAGGTATGTGGGTACGCCAACTCCACAGATTAGGCAAGAGACAGACATCACAAGATATGGCATCCAGAACAATATAAAGCCAAGTGTTATGCTGAACCACAGAGGAGGCCTCGTCAGGCTGATCTCCTCTGGATATTCCTCCGGTCTGGTTTTTGTTTCGGGGTTGGGATTCCAGGTTGAAGTGAGGAGCAGATCGCTCTTCATTTTCTGCTGATACTCCCAAGCTTCAAGCATCCTGTCAACTTCTCTCACCCACTGGGGAATTCTGAACCAAAATGGCACCAGTGTCAGTAGGCATGCCACAAAAAGTCCAAAAACAAAGGTTGTGATCACTGTTGACTCTGTCACTTTACAGAGAAGCACCTTTATCTCCCCCGAAGAATCCTGTTCCACCAGTCCAGCATAGTCGGAGTGAACTGAGTTATAAATAGCAACCGCCCAAACCACCAAGGACAAGATAACATTTCTAAATGTTTTCCATAATGCTGAGACATTGCTCATAAAGACATCATGCAAGCAGTAGTCAACAAAGCCGAGGATCAACATTGGGAGTGGCAGAGCTCCATATGTTTTTGAGGCTGTAGCCAATAGGAAGCAGGTTGACACCGATGACTTCTCTGGGCCGAGAAGCCAGGCGACTCCCATTATCAATGCAAGAAAAAAATCAGCCAGCAAAACGAACAGGCTGCAGACGCTTAGAAAGTACGTATACTTTTTTGGGCTGCATGAGTAAAACACAGCTGTTTCCAGTCCAAACTTGACGAGCAAAAGCATAAAGTGCTTCTTGGTGACGTCTGTGTATTGGTCGGACGCCTCATCCCACTGCTCGATGATGGCAAACATTTTCAGAGTTAGACTGTCCTCCAAAGATGAGGAAGACTCCGGAAGCATTTATGTGGTGAAAATCTGCAGAGGACAAAACAGAATCCTTAGATGCATTTCTCATAAATTTAAGACTTCTTAAAATACTGTTGAGTTGGAGGTACTTTATTCTGTGTAATAGTCAGAAAGGACAGTCTAATGGAGACCATTAGCAACGAAAACTGATAATTTATAAACAATAGAGATGCAAAGATCTGTCTTTTTATTACGATTCAGTGTATTTAGTCACTAAATATCTTGTATTTAGTCATAAATACAGTGAATCAAGAAGAATTCTCTGTGTGAAGGTTTTATTTGATATCTTATTTATCTCAAAAAGAAGCAATAATTTTGATGCTTAGTGTGTTTTCTTTAATGCAGTAATTCAATTCCTCATTCTGTTATTCATTGGTACATTTCACTTTTAATTCCTCCTGATTCTAAATTAATAATTTTTCTGTCTGTTTACATGATTGTACACTTCTGATAATTTCTTTCCGTTTCTCTTGTAGTTAAATGTCTGTCTGCTTTTAATCTCTGTAAAGCACTTTGTGTTACACAACACAGCAGTATTATTCTCTACAAGCTATAGCAGGAGAGCCTATAATCAGGTTTTACAGGATTATTCCTCTGATACCTTATTTTAGATTAAATACTTTTTCAATAAGTTATAGAAAGTGTTGCAGGTGTCCAAAGGAAATCTTATTCTGATACTGAGCTCATACCAAACCCTACATCTAAATTGATTTTTGACTTTTCATGTTTCAAATATCAGAAGCCACTTTAGGGCCTAAATTATCAGATAAATTTGTCATTTGTAGTCTGTGGTCCTTGGATTGCTGCTTCCTCATCACCACTGTTCAAGACAGGTTATGGTCTATGATTAACCATTGCAACAGTCTTGTGGGATATTTGACCTGTTGACACATGAGAAATTAGTGTAAATCCAACTTGCTCAACGAGATTGGCCACTGACTTTAACTTTCTGCTTGCACACACTTACAGCAAAAAGGTTTTATCCATCTCAAATTTAGGCCGTGAACTTCATTGGCTGATGCCCAAAAGGTACTGCTCTACATTTTATCAACCAAAAACATATGTGTATCCGTCTTCCAAATAAACAAAAACTTAAAAAGACATGGAAAGTACATTCAGTGTTCATGAGCTGTTTACTTTTCTCTGTCTAAGTTCTTGCTGGCAAGGTTACCAGAAGAAAAGGTTTGATGGTAAAGATAGTTTGCTATAAACAGTGTTCACTCAACCATGTTTGTGCAAATACAATATGACAAAAAACCCTCCCCTCTTAATACATGCGTCACACTGATCAAACTAACCATGGTTGGCATGGAATTAGTTAAATTTAGTTAACTATGAACTCAACTAACAGCTTATTGAAGTAACTTATTTCCACTTCAAACTGATTAACAGTATTTGACCAAATGGCTTCACAGTTGTCAAAGAGTAAAAGTTTCCTTCTGTAAATAATCATGTAGCACTTGCAGCCCTAAATGGCATTTATTTAGTTTTCGATTGGAAAGGTTGCAGACCCTGCTTCAGGCTATAAAGTCATACCATGATTGTCTGGAAATGTTTTAAAACATTAACAGATAACATTAACAGACAATTTTTATTTAATTTTTTTAAATGAAGCAGAGTTTTCTTTAGTTTTATGCATATAGTGTCCCTTGCCATCAGATCTGCCTTTGAAGCATTTATACTTTTTCCTGTTGCAGCTGTTTGGATACAATCTTTCAATTTTTCCTTTAAACCAGTATCGCAATACTTGTCTTGTGCACACATTAATCTTACCCTTTGCCTCATGCAAATACTCAAGACGCTTTATGAAAGACAATAAATGTCATAATAAAGATAAATGAGTACCTCTCTGCCCGGGGTTTTTTTTTCTTTAGTTCAGTGAGCTTCAGCAGATAAGCCGGTCCAGCAGAATGCTGTTCATGTTGTTGTTCTGTGAAGATTGTCCTCGAGAGGAGTAGCTCCCTTGAAAAATGCTCTTGCTGTGGCTCCACCTTTTCATTTTTGCTGCAAATGATCCAGGAACTCACCTTTCAGGTTTTTAAGGAAGCCTCCCATTTTCTAAATGCACTATAGGTAGCACCTCTATTATTATGATTGTTTTTTTTTTCCTGGTTTGTTGCTCATGTTATCAAATATAATTACCTGGCTGAAGTCACGCCCTGTGTGCATATTTAAATTACACAATTACTTTACTGTTACAAAGTAATTCCTAGAAAGGAGACTAGTTTTGAATATTGGAAGCCTGTGGTTGATTTTTCAAAATATGTCCCAACAGTTTTGCCTTAAGTTGTTTTTGCTCTGTGTGTCTTGTTTGCTCTCTGTGGGAATCTTCCTGTTTGCTCTGAGCGTTGGTCATTCGGGACGCAACTATGGCAGGATTCCTGGAGGTTGAGTTCTGCAGCATGATAGGTGAAACTCTTGTTCTCCCTTCTGCACAGCACACCTGTTGCCTCTTCTCAAATTCATCCATTGCCTTTTATCCTACTACTAGGAAGAGACAGAACATCCTGAAATTCTTTTAGTCGTCAAAAGATCTGCTTCCTTTAAAGCGAAAAGCAGTCTAATGTAAGGTGAACAAGTCCTACCTTCTGCTGAAAAATTCTCTCTCAGATCAAAAGTGCCATCTTTGACATTTGTTGCGTCTCAACATTCTCATCTGCTTTATGTGTTTGCCTTTGAGAGTTAAATTGCTTTGTACAGTGGACAAAGCACTGTACAAACTGCCTACAGCAGCAGTAGGAAATCCAATAGCTTTTTTGTCTTACTTTGACTTATTTGCATTAGTGGAGAGAGGGTTGTCACTGATGTCGGGACAAATCTCTTTGTGTGCGCTTGTACTTCCGTGTGAATTTGTTTATGCACACAGACACACACTTTGTATTGGACGTCTATGGCTGTCCTGCATTGTTCAGTTTCCTGGGGAAGAGAGAACTAAGCTGCCTCAGACATTTGCTTTTTTGTGCACACATGTACAAAAAAGCAAAACAAATATGTTTAAAAGTTTAACGTCAAGCCTGTTGGGTTTTTTCAATCACGTGTTCTTTGGGTTATTGGTTATGGCTTGTAAATTATATCAGATTCTCCTACATGTCATTTTAATTGCGGCGGCTGGTATCTGTAAATAGTTCTTGTACGTTGACACTTGGTGTAAGACAAACAAATCTGGTTGAAGGCCAAAATTAAAAATTCTCCAATAAGCTGGTTGTTTAAGTTTGCACACCAAAGTATTTTGTTGAATTTCTGATTGAAATTCAGCATTTGAATCAGAAGTAGTTCCATCTCACTTCTTCTCAGGGTAATATTTGTCTCCTCTGAAGACATTTTTACAAATATATCACAATTTCAAGACGTTTCTTGTCCACAGCTTTTTTTTTTTCAGATGAATCCAGTTTGTCTGTTGGGTTTAGACTTTGAATCACCGTGAAGCTCAGAAATTAAGTTCTTTCTTATCTTACGCTTTCTAACAGACATCTAAAAGTTTTGGCTCTATCCAGACATTAGTGATAGTTTGCAGAGTCATGCACCTCCACAAAAAAACCACTTCAATCGGGAAGAAGTAATTCCCGCTCATGATGATACCACAACTAATGTATAGTGTAGTTTCTGTGTTCAACGTACTTTTTGGAATTGTGGAGAAAAGTTTAAGTTTAGACTACAATGCATTTCAACGAGGCTTTGAAAGATTTAACCCGACTTGGATATTTTCTTTACATGAAGATGGTTAACTAGTTAAGAAAATAGGATATTACAGTCATGTTTTGAACTCATGTTCAGTCACAGTGGGGGGGATATAATACTTTTTGAATGAAGGGTTCCCTAATTTTCATTGAAGGTTCACCACAAATGTAAGAGGTGGAATGTAAAGAAGAAAAAAATCCAGAAAATCACACTTTCACTTTTAAACAATTAATTTTTAATTTATTGTAATAAGTACGTATTTGATAGAGCAGAAAAATATAACTTTATATTTGGTGCTGAAACATTTGTGTAAAATTACAGATGTTTCTTGTTGACCTAGACCAGGTTTGCACACACTGCATCAGAAATTTTGTTTCACTTCATCACACAGATCTTCTCCAGATCTTTGCTGTTTGGAGCGTCGGCTAGCAGCAGTTTCACCTCCCTCCAAAGATCTTGTACAGTGATGATCTATTGGATTCAGACAGGCTCAGCTTCTCCAGGAACTCACAGTGCTTCTTAGAAAGCCACTCCTTAGTTTTCCTGCCTGTGGGTGTCAGTTTATTGTCATGCTGAACAATCCAGCCACAATTCATCCTGAATGCTCTTATTATTTTTTCACAAGTAAGTTTACTTGTGAACCGAGTTAGTAATTCGGAGTAATAATCAATAGATCAGGGCACCACCCCATCATTAGTTAAATAGCTCTGCCTCTGTGAATTATTGCTAACGATTCCCTGACTATTGAGGTGCTGTATTATAAAACAGTACGTAAAGGAGTGACTCATTGGTGTTGTATATGTGTGTGACAAGTCCAGCACACAGATACAAAAGACAAAAAAAACACTCCCTCAGTTTTGAAGTTGAGGTGGCCTGTGTTGTCTTCTCAGGCCAGTGTAGGAGCAACCCCTTTGTCAACATTATCAGAGACTTCTTGGAAATCTGCCTGTCGCTCTAATCCTTCCTTTCAGTCGGTGAAACAAGCCAGGTTCAGAGTTATTTACAGCCACAGTCACTGGAAACACAAACAGCCAAATAATAATACATTTTGGATCCAAGATAAATGTGGTATTTATCTTTGAAAAAATACCACATAATGGTACTGGGAGGAAAATTCTTCTGCAAGCCGAAGATCTATGATGTTATCAGGATGCTAGCTCTGATGCCAACATGGGGTATCTGATACCATGCGTGTATTTGTATTCATAAAAATTCTCAGATACTACAGAGCCTGATACCAGCATAAGTATCGGGCTCTGTAGTAGGCTAATTGGCCACTGATGATGGTTTTCCTGTTTTGTTTCTAGTTCCTAGTTTCTGTCGAGGACTAAGGCCTCCATATGCGGGTTGTACTCTACCCCTGCACCACTATAGCACCTCTCTCAGATGTTTTTTTTATCAGGTTTGGAGAAGCATTCATAATGTTCCTGTTGTGCAATATTGTATCTGATTTTTGATACTTGTGTTCACGGTACCATGGTGAAGGAATATTTTCTGCTCTTTTCTTTCTTGCTGATAAGATTGTGTAGCAAGATTACTTTGATCCATTGTAACTACTCTGAAACTGTCTTTAGAAAACGGCTGTAAATATTTGGAAAAACCTGCTCGGTCGCTCAACTTAATCAGATTAACTACAGTAAATGTTGGGAGTGTAACAAGAAAAATATATTTTTTTAATTATTAAATCAAAACCTGCCTTAATCAGGACTTGCAGAGTTTAATGGCTGCCCATTTGCACGGCAGGGCTATACCTGCGTTTTCGACATTTTCAGTTGACCTGTACAAGATGCACGTTTGAGATCCACTGAAACTCAGTGCAGTAGCTTTATTTGCTGTTTCATCCCTTCACTCAACATTATCTCGACTGTGTGGCAGGATGTCGGACGGATGAAGATAGAGCTGTTCGCTGACGTGGTTCCAAAGACTGCTGAGAACTTTCGGTAAGGAACAAGCTGGTAACACGTCACCCCTTTAATTTATTGCTTGGTGTTTGAGTACATACTACAACATATGTGAACAAAATTCAGGCAGCGGATCATAAACCTGTTGCTAATGTTTTCTTCCCATCCTCACAGGCAGTTCTGCACTGGAGAGTTCAGGTAAGGCAGCTTCACACACACACCGACATCTTTTTGCTGAATTTTTAAAAATTTCTTTCTCCATCGTTTGCGCTGCAGGAAGGATGGTGTTCCAATTGGCTACAAAGGCTGCACTTTCCACAGGTATGTGACAGAGCCAAATGATTGCTGGCTAAAGAAAAGAAGACCACAACAAAGGCTTATGCACCCAGGTCTTACTGCGTTTAAAATGGTCCTTAAGCTTTTTTTTTTTTCAATGTATTCATTGGGAATCTAAGCTGTCTTATAAAGTGAAGTTTGAGTCCAGAGAATATTAAATTTAAATCTTCTTGGTTATATTTATATTCCATATTCACTCCAGATCTACAATCATAGTCATTGCTTTTTTGAATCAAACAGCTCAACCTTGTTCACCTGTTTAGTACACATTTTTCACTCTTTACCTCCAGGGTGATCAAAGACTTCATGATTCAAGGTGGAGACTTTGTAAATGTAAGTACGTGCACACACCTCCTATTTTCTGGTTCAAAATCCTTGCATTTTGTGTGGAAGGTTTTAATTAAGGTGTAAGTAACCCCAGGTTTTAAAAAAAAATCTTTTTAGTTTTATTTTCTACTGTGCTCATTACTAGAGTATTGATGTAAAACCTATTAGAACCTTGACTGTGTCGAGATGGGATTTTCTTTAGTAATACCCCAACTTTATGTATAATCCACTGGGAAAACTGTTGTCATATAGTAATTGTCATACTTGTTATGCAAGTAATATAGAATTTGTCTTTTGAATTGGCATATGTTCACTGAGTTTCACTGGGTTTCTGTTGAATCCTTTTAAGCCGATGTGTGCTAAGCTTAACTTACTCAATCAAAAAATATAGAAGTTGGAATTCATTGGTAACATCACTTTTTGCAAGGTTGAGAAAACTCAACCAATTTTTTATTTTTTTGTGTTACAGAATCAAAACATCAAAAAGACCTACTCCCATTTTGTATTCTCTCTGCTAGAACATTTGCTAAAATGTCACATTTTACTCTAGAAATGGACCCATCTAGAGTCAGTATCGATTACAACTTAATTGATAAAGATTGCTCTTAGGACAGAAAGAGGACAGTTTGGTTTGAGCTGGATAAAACACTTTTGTCTCCCTCTTGTGGTTCTGAAGTGAATTACACTTTTTTTTTTTTATCTAGACAGACTTCTAAAATAGTTCCTGCTTGTCTTTTGCTAAAGGGCGATGGTACTGGTATCTGCAGCATCTACAGGGGTCCATTTGCAGATGAAAACTTCAAAATGAAGCATTCTGCTCCTGGACTTCTATCCATGGTATGTGTGCTGGTGAATGCTGTTAAATTACTATTCCATCCTCTAATTTGGTACTTTTAAGTGAGGTAATGTCACCAAATGTTTCTGTTTAACTTATTTCTAATTCAGGCAAACAGCGGACCAGGAACAAATGGTTGCCAGTTTTTCATTACCTGCACTAAATGTGACTGGTTAGATGGGAAGCATGTTGTTTTTGGTGAGTCATTTCACAAAATGGACTTATTTACACTTATGCACTCATCATTTATTTACATGAACATAATTCCAGTCATGCTTACAACAGATTTTTGATTTTTTTTTTTTTTTAGGAAAAGTGGTAGATGGTCTTCTGATCATGAGGAAAATTGAGGTAAAACTTCACAAAATTCTTACTCATTTTTGTGCCTCTTGTCTTTCATCCTTTTAAATGAAATTCTGGATAAATATGTAAAGTTTCTGGCCAATAAGAGCTGTTTTGTGTGTCAGTGCGCGTACCAATGGGTCTGCACTGTTTGCACTACATAATTTTATTACAGAAAAAGAGTTAAAATGAACAATTATACTTTTAAGAAATGTCACGACAGATGCATTAAGCAATTTAAAAATGCACACACACACATAGACACACACACACAAAACAAACAAAGCAGCTGTTGTTTTTGAAGCATATTACGCTTACAATAAATATCCTCACTAGTATTCCTCTGACAAAGAGTGATGATAGACAATATTTTACCTTAACAGAACTGCATGAAGCAGATCTGCTGGAACGCTTTCAGAGGAGGTTCCAGGTCATTCAGTCATTCAACTATAATGTCCAAGAATTAGAAATGTATAAATGTCACCAAACCCGTGAATTTAGGTTTACCTAAAATGAAAAGATAACGTCATACAGTTTGTTATAACCAGACTCCAAAGAATTATTTAATTGGTCAACTTGAGATCTGATAAATGTGAAAATATTATTAAATTTAGAAATAACAAATATGAAACTGGTAGACTGTTTGCCTTCAAACTGTTGAAATTCATCTTGGGTGGATTATAAATCATTTTCATGACTTTCATGGTAATTCTCTTTTACTTCCATTTTAGTGATTTTTTTTAAATTATTATTATTTGTGACTTTGAATAATTCTAGACCAGAAGCTGTTTTAGTGGGAAATATGTACTTTATTCTGAGTATTTAGAAAAAAATGTGAGGTTTCCGGCCATGCCGAATATGCCGACCATAAAATAGCCAAGTGTAGAAAAGAGGCTTTAATTTTAATGAAACGTTCAAAACGTTCCTTCTGTCCCAGACGAATTTGATTATTCTGAGGCACAAACTCTTTACCGATTATTGATGCTGATTGTTGCTTTTTAGATTTAGTTTTAATTCTGAGTTTGTTCTTCTCCTCTCAAACAGAACGTCCCCACTGGACCCAACAACAAACCAAAACTGCCAATCCTCATCGCTCAGTGTGGAGAAATGTGATGTTTCATTTTAAAATACATTTCGTGAGACCCGATGAACTTTTCTTTTTTCTTTTTTTTTTTTTACACAAAAAAATGCAATAAATTGTACTTTTCTAATTTAGATGTTCTGTCTGGTTTATTTTCTTTCTTTTTCACATCTCTAGACAAAATAACACTTAAACCAACATAGTTTTCATTTGAAGAATGTAATATGTAATGCTCATAAATAGCTTTAGACAATATTAAAATAAAGCTCATGTAAAACAGGTGGGGCTAAAAATGTGTTGTCAAGCGATAAATACTCAGTTTTTCTTTCTCTTCACCAATTCATCGAAATATAAAAACTTCCCCGGGGGGATTATGAACTCGATCTCAGTGTTTGGGTGATATGTATCTGCATGGAAACACACAGAGGTGTAAAGTTGTACTCTGAGGAGATGCGGGATTAATGTCAACCTTATCCATGGAGCAAATTAGAGCACACTCTCCAGTGCCAAGCAATCCTCTGTTGAACTTATGGCTACCCCTTCTATCCCAGCCAAATCCAAGCTCCAAGCCCCCTTCCCCCATACTTCCCTTGAACATCGTTCTCTTGGCACAAAAGGATCCTTTCAGATGGAGACTCTCTTCTTATAGAGGCAGGAAGAGGGTTTTCTTTTTTTTTTTTTGAAAGGAGGTTTCTCCATGGGGAGGCTTTCTGAAGCTCATTTTTGTGTGTGGGAGAGCGGAGCTTCGCAGTTTACAGCAGAGCTTCACACGTCGGCCTTTGCTTGTAAATGGTGCCAGTGGAGCTTTAATTACCATGACAATGTTTGTGAAGGGGTGGGAGGGTAAGCGGGTACTATTGGCTGTTCGCTCTTTGCTAGAGAAAAAGGAAGTTTTCTCAACTCACACAAGATGGCCGACTTTTATCATTTATACTGACGGTTTTGAGAGGGAAAATTAAGTCATGCGACGTTCTATCAACTCTGAGTTATGTCGGCTTTTGTTTGCTTTTGCAATGCCTTTCTCTTATTATGAGTACTCCATTTCTCTGTTAGGATCTTCATTGGTGTCAAAGACATCACTACGACAGATTTAAGAAAGTTAGAAATGAGATATAAGACATACAACCTGTGCTGAATATGTTCTGTAGACTAAATTTATAAATTGAAAATTTTGAGCAACACCAGTCTGTTAATGAATGAATGATTGATTGTGTCTACGGTGCAGTGCAAGAGTATTCACAACCCTTTGAACTTTTACACATTTTGTCATGCGACAAGCACTTTTAATGTACTTTATGTGAAAGCCACACACAAAGTAGCACACATTAGTAAGCTCTTTAATTTGCAAAGTTTCTACAATTCCTTAGAAGGAAATCGGAGAAGTCTGCTCACAGCAGTCTGCCCATTTTACTCCCATGATCCAAAACGTAATCTAGTGCAACCAATTGCTTTTAGAAGTCATTTAATTTGAAATTGTACTCCAAATACGAGTCAGATTAGTAAAAGCTTGTCCTGTTAAGGCTTAAAAAAATCTTAGGAGAGCATTAGAGATTAAACATTAACACGAAGACCAAGGAATACACAATAAAACTTCCATAAAACTGTAAAACACCGGAAACCCTGACTTCCTTTAAAAACACACCTGTTTAGAATTGTATTTGAAATGTAATATGTAACAATGTATTGTTTATTCTATGTTGCATGACTTTCTTTTTATGATATAAAGCACTTTGAAAGGCCTTGCTGCTGAAATGTGCAATACAAATAAAATTTGATTTGATTTTGATTTAAAAACGAGGGAATAAAGTGGTGGAAAAGTTAAAACAGAATTGTGAGGAAAGAAAAAATCCAGTGTTTTGAACATCTCAAACTGTTGCCATTCATCTTACCTGGCTGGCCAAGAAGACCATAGTTAGTCTGGAAGAGCTGCAGTCTGCAGATATCCACAGCTCATGTGAAGAATCTGTCCCCAGAACAATCATTAATAGTGCATTCTACAAATCTGGCCTTTACAGAAGAGTGTAACAACAAAATAGGTTGTTGAAAAAAATATTTAAGAACTCCTGCTAACAATTTGTGTCAGTCTACCACATAAAATCCTTGCCAAATACATTTATGTTTCTGGTAATGTGATAAAATGTAAACTTCAAGGGTTGTAATATATTTGATAGTTTGTGTATACTGAGTTTAAGTGATTTTGCTGTATTGTGGTTAGACGCTTCATAATGCTGCATAGTAGTTCATTTTAATGGCTGTTTATAAGATGGTAAATCCTGGCATTAATCAAAGGGACTTTAAAATCTTTCATGTAGACCGTTTTCTGTCTTACTTATGGATGCAAAGTCTGGTTTGGTACTGTTTCCAAATGTGCTTAGTAGCTTCACTTAATCCCAAGAGTTTAAGAGTTTGGGCAATTATTTTACCACGTATAAGCAGCCCTGCAAAACTACCTGACAGACACTTCATTACTGCCAGCCTTACCTGATTAGTATATGTTGAAAAATTTCAGGTATAATCGCCTGGTAGGAAACCTTTTCATGACAGTTGTACTAACCAATTAAAAACACGTTATGTTAGTCGTCACACATTCCAGCCAATCAGAGGAAGTGTTGGGCGGGACTGCCACAGTGAACATTCCCCGGCACATCTACACGTTCTGCCCAGTTCGATCGGCAACGGGAGCGGAAAGAGGAAAGCTGAGAGCCCGAAGGCAGTAAGCCCCCACCACCGCCGGCCCAGGTTACCATCTAGCACCGGGAAAAATAGCAGAGAGCCGCCGCCGGCTGAAGCCATTACCAACGAGTAGTAAGCATGAGCAGCGAGGCCGAGACACAACAACAACCTCCGCAGCCTGCTGCGGATGCGGAGAGCCCATCCAGTCCGGCAGCCGCAGCTTCAGCGGGGGATAAGAAGGTCATCGGTAAGGCTGCCAAAGCTAGTTGAGCTAACTAGGTTGCTAGCGTGGATTCTGTTACAGTAGGGCAATCCCCACTGTCACCACTACAGTCTGCCGTTAAATTTAACGTTAATGGGACATAAACGTTAAGTCCATCGTTACTGAACGAAATGGACAAAAATTAACGAACATAACCTCTGTTTTCCACTTTTTCTGTTTTATTTAGAATATTGGCATTATATTACCTTTTGTATTTTCTCTTCAGCGATGTCAAATATTTTTCGTGTGTAGTAGTTAAGCGTTAGTGTCGGGAGATTTAGAATTACGCCGCTGTAGCTTTATGTTTTATGAATACATTTTCCGAGTTCTGAAATTAGCCGTTTGACATATCTGTTGCAACATTTTTCATAGGACTGTCAGTTGTCCGAGAGCTCGCGACTTTCGTATGGGGATCTGAGCCGCACACTCGTCGGCCTCCCTGCGTCAGATATCCGCTCGACAGACCCATCCATCCACTCGGCCGTCACATGGACAGTCGTTGGGAAACGTTTGCAGCCGTTATCGAAGCCAATGTGTTTATATAGAAACGGAAACGCGGTTTGCAGACGTTAGGCTCTGTGGGTTAACCGCCCGGAGGTTGAAGTTTAACGGCTGAAGAGAATACAAGTAAATTTGCCAACCCGTGTTTATCATTTCATATCAACTACATGGGCTAGTAATGCTAGCTGCGTAACCATCCCTTTGTTCACGCGAAAACAGCCTGCTGGTTTTAGTTATTTTATCCAAAATATTCTCGACACAAACATTTGTCCCTTCCAACTGGTCAAAATGCCAGATTAACAGCAGTTTACTAACGCATTTAAATATATATGTCAACGGTCGTGTCATTTTAGGTCGATTTTCTGGGTTATCAGTCTGGCCTACATACTTCACCACCCGAGCTAAAGATGCTATCCCTAGCCTAGCCGGCTAACGCCGCTTCCTTCAAGGCTTTAAAGGCCACCCCCCAAAAATGTCTGCCGTGGGTTTCCACTTATTTCGCCGTTTGGTGGTGTTTTCGTCAAAACCCGTGTAAAATATCGAGTCGCTTTTATTACGTGTTAAATAAAAAAGTCGGCCCAAATATAAGCTCTCTTGCTTGTTATGTTAGTTTCTGTTTGCTGGCTCAACTCCAGCCACATGGTTCAAAGCCTCTCTCAGCTACATTGCTATGCTAACACATCCGGGTACGGCTCTACCACGTGTGACCACTCAGATCCTGGGTTGTGTTTAGATCAGGTTAAACAAGAAGGGTACGTTCGCTCGGCGATGGCAGCCCAAAAAATTAAAACAATGACGTGCGAGTGAACACGATCAGACTGAAAGAAACGTCAAGATATGATCATTTTCATATGGACCAGAACAAAAATAAATAAAAGCGCACACTCTTTTAATATAGGCACCCTATCCATACTTTTAAACCCAAGACAACGTTTAGGAAGATGTAAGATTTTTATACTTGACTCAACAAGAAAATGTTCCGGGACTATTTTGAATATATTTTATTAAACACCATTAAACACACAAATAAGTGTGTATGTTCCATATATGGTCCTCTTTTGCCCATTAATTGAATATAGGCAAGAGATTAGACTAAATCAGTAACATTTGAAGGCAGATTATTCAGTCTTATTTCTATAAGCAGCTGGGAGGGGAGGTGGAGGATCTATTTTTGATAGAATAAATGATTCTTAGTCTATTTCAGTGGTAAAGATCTGGGTATATAAAATGTTAACTGTGGGGGGTAGGAGAAGTGAAAGTAGATATGCTGCTTCTTGAAATGGGGCCTCTTATGTAACACTGGCCCTCATGGCTATTGGTGTTTGTCTGTCTCTGAAGTGCTTCACTAAACATCCCATAACTAAGGTGTGTATAATATTACATCCTTAAATGAACACATGTTGGGTTCTCCCTCTACAAACTTTGGCCCATGCCTCATGCCAAGAGCAGGTGGTGCTGGGTATTCCCAAGCATCCAGGTCTATAATAAGAATGGCAGTTGGGAGTTAAATATAACGTTCACATAATGCATGGCCTTGGTTAGGTTTGTTCATAAGTCAGGCACCTGTTTATCAAAACGTTTTAATTGGACTCAGCAAGTCGCAGATGAATTTTAACTCTGTGCCAGAAGAAGCTCACGCTGTCTAATCTAGATTGTTTTAATTTCCTTGCAGCAACAAAAGTCTTGGGTACCGTCAAATGGTTCAACGTCAGGAATGGATATGGTTTCATCAATAGGTAAGCGAGAGCCGCCCACACCATCCACCCACCCATTCTTCCAAGAGATTTCTAATATAATGCGTACGAGTGGCTGAAAGATTGTTCTCAATCCTATTACAGTTTTGCTTTGCTCACAGAGCTGACCAGATTATGTTTTCTGCTTGTGTCTATACTGTCGCCACCTACAGTACTACATTAATCCTTGCTGGCTTAGTTCAAGTCCGTTTACAGAGACATTGCGTTGTGTGGCTCAATAGGACACTAACTTCTATGTTTTTTTTGTTTTGTCTGTTTAGGAACGATACAAAGGAGGATGTCTTTGTACACCAGGTATGTTTCAGCTCCTTTATTTCTGCATTAATATATATATCTATCTATATATTTATAGATAGATATATATATTAACAGTTACACAAAGTTCTCATCCATGCTCTATTTTTTTTAGACGGCCATTAAGAAGAACAACCCAAGGAAATATCTCCGCAGTGTGGGAGATGGAGAAACTGTGGAATTTGACGTAGTCGAGGGAGAGAAGGTAACCTTTTCTCTGATTTATTCATTTTTCTATAAAATGTAAAGTTGATACCTTTTTTTTCTAGACAGAAAAAATAAATAAATAAAACATCATATCACTGAGAAAATGTGTCCCAATGTATCCAGGGAGCAGAGGCAGCTAACGTCACTGGCCCAGGAGGTGTCGCAGTCCAGGGAAGCAAGTACGCTGCGGACCGGAACCGCTATCGGCGCTATCCACGAAGGAGGGGCCCTCCACGCGGCGGAGACTACCCAGAGAACTACCAGAGCGACGAAGGCGAGCCCGGCAACGGAGGACGCGACAAGAGCAGAGAGGGGGGAGAGAACGCCCCCGAAGGAGACTCGCAGCAACAGCAGCGCAGACCAGGTTACCCTGGCAGACGGCGCTACCCGCCATACTTTGTACGTAGACGCTACGGCCGTCGGCCCCCGTACACCAACGCACCACGCGGAGAGATGACTGAGGTACGCCGCCAGAGGGCTACTCTCCTGAAGCAGGCACCCAGTTGATCAATAACTTAAGTCTGAACTCCTGATTTTTGTTCCACCCTCTCCTCTCTAACAATCACGTGGTTGTGATCAACAAATCTTGGTGTATCGGGGGTCTTGGATGCTCTCAAATAGGCCCCACATTTCCGCAAAATCGATATGACAAAGTTCCACATTTTTATTACAAAGTCACCATGCTCTCTGAAAGTTCTGAAGGATTTTTTTTGGTTTTGTTTTGGTTTCTTCTCTGTGCCCCTCAGGGAGGTGAGGGTGACGAAGGCCAGGGAGGTCCAGACCAGGGCAACAAACCAGTGAGGCAGAACTACTACAGAGGCTTCCGACCAAGGTTCAGACCAAGGTTTGCATGTGGGCTTTATTGGCAGAGGATAGCGGTGACAGGATTCAAACGCTTTGCATGTGCTGGTCTTGCACTAACAAAAAAAAAAAGACATTTAAAGAATCTCACGTAAGCTGCCAGTAAACGACGCACGTCATCAGAAATTGCTTGCTGTGTGGTGTGCATGTCTCTATAACTGCATGCTGTCTGTCACTGTTTTTTTTTTTTTTTCCTACTTTACGTCTAACTTTGTCTTGTGCAACCCAGGGGTCCCCCCCGTCCCAGACCGGTGCGGGACAGCGAGGAGGACAAGGAGAATCAGGGCGGCGAAGGAGGCCAGAATCAGCAGCCCCGCCAGCGGCGCTACCGTCGTAACTACAACTACCGCCGCAGACGCCAACAGACCGGTGGCAAACCCGGCCAGGAAAACAAAGAGGCCAAGACAGGAGGTGACCCATCTGCAGAGAAAACGTCCGCTCCCGAGGCCCAGCAGGGTGGGGCTGAGTAGGAAACAACCTGCACACCGGCACCTACCATCTTGTACCATCGTCCGGGTGAGTTTTTTTTGTTGTTTTTTTCCTCTGTTTGAAACATTTGTGAACCATGTTGAATGTTTGTGCAGCCCTTGTTGGACTCAGTTTCTGCCTCCTGTTCTTGTTTTTTATTTTATTTTACAGTTTTTCGTTTGTCAACAAGAAGAAACATCAACCAAGATCTGAGCAATAAAGATTTGACTCTAAGACCGTCACAAGCTTGCACCATGCATTTGACCAGATTACCACTGATTGCCTGCAGAATCTATGCAGACTTGTGTTTTCTTTTCCCATTATTTTTATGTGACAGCTACAAAACATTTTGGGGAAACAACAAATGTTTTTCTAAATCTGTCCTAAGTTTTTACACCAAATGGTTTTTAAAGATGAAAAAAAAAATGAAATTTGATATCTGGTCAGTTTGACATTTTTAAATAACTTTTTATGTATTCAGACATTTTAACAAAATGCAAGCTCAAATAAATCTTCAGAAACCAGGAAAACTGTTTGGAGTCTCTTTATTTTTCTCAAGTATACAGGCTATGAACATTATCAGATTGTTTTTTTTACAGCATGAAGTAGATGTTTAAATTTGAGCATCACGTTTTGCAATATCTGACCTCCTCTTCATTCCTTTATACTCAACCATTTGGCACAATTTGAAGAAATGTCAGAAAACTGGAGGAACAAACCCCAACATCTTGTCTGAGGTCAGTGTTTGCACATTATGCTACGTAGGGAACAGAATCTCAGTCTGTGATAATGGACTTCCAGGGCTCAGTGTCACTCATCAGCAGTGCAGTGTGTGTGTTTTAGCCTTCAACAGCGACTTATTCCAATGGCGTGCAGCAGCCGCTTCAGACGTTGGTCTCCTTTCGCAAACGCTTCATTCGTTGCACGTTGCTCTCCATGGCGGTGGGATCTGTGATCTCTGTGGCGCAGTTGGCAGGAAACCAGCCTCTCTCTCCGTCCCGCATTCTCTCCCCATAGCACCACTCTAGGCAAATCGAGACGTTTGTGTTTATAAAAAAAAAAAAAAAAAACACGATGGGAAGACGACGTAAAGACCGAGCCCAGCTGCGACAGCCTCACCTTCTTCCTTTTGGAGAACGATGATGAACTCCGCCTGTCGCAGGCCGAGTTCGTCCTGATCTTTAGGCATGTGCGTTTTGGTGACTTCATACTGCGGCAAACCTGAAACACATTCCCGTTTCAACAGGAACGTCTGGCTCACACTGATTGATGGTTAATCAATTAAGCAGGCGCATTTCTATTGTAATTTAATTGAAAAAGTGAAACTTGTATTTTATAGCAAATGGTGATATACTTTCAGGATTTAGATGGTTTAATTTAGAGAATAGCTAAATAAGAACAAGGATTTTAAATGCAGTAATGTCACACTAATAAAACATATATGTACTTAGTACCTCGTCACAGCTTCTTTTGAATGAATTACTGCATTAATGGAGCACATCAGAGGGATCAGTGCTCCTTTTAATAGTAGCTTACAAGGAGCTCTTTCCATGAGGCAAAGCACATAGACTCATCTTCTTGACACCATTTAAGGTTTCAGTTAGTCCAGTATTTATTTATTTTTTTTGAATATCTACAGTGATGCCCTGGTCAATAAATTGTATTGACACCTTTAGCAGTGTGGGGAGCTGGGAAATCCTTAAACTAAAAAAATAAAAAGCATCTCAGTTTTTTTTTTCCAAACAGTTATGTATGTTTTTTTTCATAACAGTCTAGTGTAATAGTTAAGGTTTTTTTTTTTTAAGTAGGGAAGAATGTTTATAAGATGAAATAGTGTCACAGTGACAGCCATAAAACATTAAAAGCATTGGAATGATATGATAAAAGCATCTTTTTAAAATGAATACATATTAATAAAAGGACCAAGACCAAAACCACTGTGAGCAAACATAATGCTGCAGCAGAGCGCTTGGGAGGAGTGGAAGTGAATAACAATCATTTTGCTACGAATGCAACTTTTTTCTTTCCACGAGGCAAAGCATATTACCCATCTGTTTAGGATTTAAGGGGTTTATAATCTGCATAACAACTAATCATCTGCTGAAACTTCACACGGATTCATTGGGAAGTATATTTTTATATTGAAATTCCCATCTGTAATCAAAGCATATAGTCTCACCATCTGTGCAAGTGAAGACCCCTTCTTGCTTCTGCTCTTTAAGAGCGGTGATCCATCGGGCCCGGTCCACCCTTGGCAAAAGAGAGCGCAGGAATAACAATGAGGTCTGTTTCTTGTAAAAGTACCTCAGATGTTACACTACCTCGAACTGCAGCTACTACTTTGTCAGTAGAGGGAGCCAAAGACAAAATATATGTGGCTTCTAAGAAATACAAGTGGACATGTATAAGGAATTGTTCAACTGGTCTCATCAGTATTATTCACTCTGTAGATCTGTGGATAATCATTTTAGGATAAAAAGATGGCTTTAAATTCAGAAGGCCCTTCACCAAAGTTTGGTTCTCAGCAGGAGTTGAAGAATTCATATTGGCTGCAGTACCTGGAGTCAGCCACCAGGGAGATCTGCTCCAACTTCCCCTCGCTGTTCTTGCTCATCCGCAGTTTGAAGGAAAGGTAGTTGGAGCTGCTTTTGCTGGGCGACGTTCGTGCATCGGCGTCTTCCCCAAACTCGACCTGGACGTTATCCACAGTGGCGTAGTCCAACACCACGAAGCTCTCCTCGCTGCAAAGCAGCATGGTCAGCCAGGAAACAGCGTGGCACAAGCAACATTTTCTTGACTCTCCGAAAAAGCCTCGACTTGTACATTTTTCCCTCCCGAACACAGAGGTCACAGAGCTGACTTAAAGACATTTTAATGACTGCAGTGTTGTGGGCAATTTCTTTGTCTGAGCTCACATTGTTTTCTCCCTCCCTAATTCAAAACAGACAGCTGAAGTCAGTCAAGCTGACAAGCTGAACGCAGGAATAAAGAATCTGAGGTATGCACGCACTCCTTTCCCTGTCCCTTTACTCTCCTCTTTCCCGATGTTCCCTGGAAGCAGCTGGAACTGTTCAACTCGCCACGGGGGACCAAGTCAACCAAAACATCCACGAAAGACTATCAGCTGTAAAACGTAACCTTTAGTTGCTCCATATGTTCCACTTATTTGCAGTTTGGTGTGATAACAATTTCTGATAAAAAAAACACAAAAAGTACCAAAGTGTATTTTTCATAAATCCACACTCCGTGGGACACAGAGCTTATAAGCGCTTATTCTGCTTTTCACAGATTTTGTCCTGCTACAAACTCAACTTCAATGTACTTTCTCTTGATTTTAAAACATAATTAAGCTAAATTATAAAAAGAAAAAACAAAAAAAGTTTCTGAAATTGTAGTGCACAGTTTTATGCATCCCTTGCAGGATTTTAATGCGCCAACTCTGGTCTTTTAAACTGACTCTTTGGCCCATTTGTGTTGTCCAAAAAGCTCGAGCTCAATCAGAAAGGATGGACAGCATCTGTCTTCTCACAAATTTGCAGTTGGACTTGACTGGGCTTTAAGTAGGCCATTCTAAAATGCTTGTGTTGATCTAAAATACTCAAGTGAAGCTGTGGCTCCAGGTCCATTTAGCTCAGTCTAGTTTGCGCTCTGCCTGTTGGCCAATTTTGGTCTCACCAAAGCATCTTTTCACTCATCTTGCATTTAGTTTGTGACAAAGGGGGAGAGTTGTGCAGCATATGGCTAATAGTAACCTATCCTATCAACAATAGATGTGTTTATGCTGAGACCCGATTACACTCAGCTCAACTTCATGAACTACTTAGATGAATTGGTTCCACAGGATTTCAATTAGGGGCATCAAATTCATGTCATACTTCTGTGATTTTTATTTTTTTATGTAAAAAAATATCACTTCACACATTCTTGTGTGTGAAGTGATATTTTTGCTTTTTGTCAGAGCAGCACTCATAATTCAGACGAAACAGATGAATGTTTAGGATTTTAGTGTAAACCTGTGATTTGTGTTTTCTCGGCTGCTGGAACAGCTTCTTACACACTGTGACACAATTTCCAAATGTATCCTAATGACATTACGAGTGTTGGTTCGCAGAAGCTTTGCGTTTGTAACAGAGCGTCACTCACGACTTCTTTTTGGTGACGATCAGCACGTCGTTGAAGAGGAACAGGTAGTAGCTCCTGGTGGTGAAAGCCCTCCATATGCTGAGCTCTTCGCTGGAGACGGCCAGCTCGCCGCGCTTCTTCAGCCACCGCGATGCCGACACCAGGGGAAATGGCTGCGGGGAAAAGACGATGACCGACACATTTATCCGAGTCGAGCTCGTTTCTGCTCCAAAACAGCGATGGCTGAACGGCCGACCTTTATTTTTCCAAACTCCATCTGTTTCTGGATGGTGTACATCTGCTCCGTCCTCTCCATCCGCCTTGCCCCGTCGTTGCATTCGGTGACCAACTGTTCACATGATAATCGTAGTGGAAACGGTGATCAGAGTCCTGTCAAAACGGATAAACCTGCGTGGACGCATGCAAACCTTGCTCATGGCCTTCAGCGCCCAAACGGCAGCAAAGTACTCCGCAGTCTGGTCCTGAGTTTTCTGACAGATTGTCTGAGGATGAAGAAGCACACACACAGAAGAAAATAAAGAAAACACTTCATAGGTGAGTCGTTGCATATGTTACAGTGGAATACAAAAATTTAGATGTCCTTTCCCAAAATTTGGGTTATAAGAAAAAAATGACAGAAATAATCCCCCCAAAATATGATATCGAAGGTAACATAAATAAATATAAAACAGTTTTCAAATGATAATTACATTTATTATAGGGGGGGGATATGATCCAAACCAACCTGGGCTTGGCTGAATAAGTAATATTAAAAATACCTTGGCATTTTTCATCCTGAGGTGAGTGAATCTTCATCAGTGCAGACAGAGTGTATGCACAAATATGCACAGTTTTGTTCATTGAAGGAGTCAAGAATTGTCAACAGAAGTGCACCACCAATGTGTGCCCAAATCTTTTAGTTGCACTGTATGTATAGTTGATCATTTCTTCACACACACAAAAAATACATTTTATGATTTTTATGCATAACTTAACATCCATGTTACGTTCTCTATTTTTTGTTTTGCTCTACTGTTAATGAAATAAAAAAGGTACGACAAAAGTAAAGGTTGAACTGACATCAAGCAGAAGTGGTAGTCTGGTCACACGCTGCATGGGCAGGATCAGAAACGACGACATGGGAAGGCCTCCGCATTCACTATTTCTCTCAATTTCTTTCAGGGTGTCTTTGAACGCAGAGTTATTATTCCTGTGAAACACAAAAATAAAAACACAAAGTAAGTTCGGCTCATATTCTTGTGCCGCTGCATGAAGCTGTTGGCTTACGCTGGATTGTTCCTCCACTCACAGCAGTTTCTGGAACGTCCTCTGCTGAAACGTCTCGTTGGAGCAGTAGACGATGTAAGGAGCGAAGTGGTGTGCCGCGTGGTTCTGAACAATGTCGCTG